CTCTCTCTCTCTCTCTCTCTCTCTCTCTCTCTCTCTCTCTCTCTCTCTCTCTCTCTCTCTCTCTCTCTCTCTCCGTTTCTCACTCTCTCTCCCTCTGTCGCAGCCACAAGTCGATGGCTGCCGGCACATGATCACAACCAGCCCCAGTTTTCTTCAGCGAGATCTTCGAACCACACTGTCACTCCCATAGCAAGCCGCCAGACATCCTGAACAACCCAGTCCACTCGTGGGTCCTCTGCCTCGTAGTTGCAGGGAGAACGTCGCGCCTGCGGGGAGAACAACTTCGACGGCAATCCAGCAACCTTCTTCAGGTGCTTTAGGGCGCGAATCTCGACGACCTGCGCTTCGGACACCTTTTCCTTCAGGCCCCATTTCCTGAGAAGACTCCTCAGTTCTCCCTCCTTGATAGCGGGATCGATCTTGTGGACCACATCCCACCCGATCCTAAACCACGTCTGCATGCGCACCTGCCAATTGAGGTCGTTCTTCCACGTCAGATTGTTGCAATCGCTCTTGCACACGTCAGAGTACAAGCATTTAAGAATCTCCCGGATGGCAGCGTCAACATGCATGACCTTCGCCTCCACTATGTGCCTGCCTGTCTCTTCACTGGGCCCAAGCACGCATCCTTCCTCTGAGCTCAGGCCCGACCAGCAGCTCAATGATTCGCCACCAGACAACCATTCAGAGTCGCTGCTTGCATACATGATACTATCAGATTCAGCGGAGGACGACCAGCGCTCGCGCTCCGAGCGATAGTCACGACGCCTGCTAATGCGGTGGCGGCGGTGACGGGTCCGTCTGTTCCGATCGGAATAACAGCAGTCAGAGGACGAACCTAAGCAGGAACCAGAATGAGAAGAGTTCGACAGCGAGAGAAGGCTGCTGCTTGTTCCCTCAGAATCAGACGAAGAGTCAGACGAGTGCAAACATTTCGATCTGTGGGACTTCCGCTTATACTCTTCTTCCTTCCGCATCTTTTCTTCCCGCTTACGGATCCGCCTCCTCTGCGCGAGTTTGTCACGAGCATGACCCTTCACAACGTCGATGTAACCGTCCACATCTCCCGATTCCACATTCCGCTCGATCTTCCTGATGACACTATACAAACTTAGGGCACGGCGTGGGAGTTGTTTCCGAACTCGCAGCTTTCGGAACTTGACGTCCGCAATAGCCTGGACAGCAGCCAGAATGTGCTTCCCCCCCTCCATCAGAGTGCATGCGAGCGACGAGCGGTGCTTTGTGGCCTCCTTGAGAAACTCTGCAAATTAAGAGTCAACAAAAGCCCAGGATCAGCCATTAGAAATTCATACAAGCACACGATCAGCAATATGAAACTCGCAACATAACAGAAAACCATCCACAAAGACAGAGCGACACCAACGCCTGACGGCTCAGCGAACTCCTCTGGAGGCCAACGACACATGGCCGTAAACGATGAAGGGATGATATCCCGTCGGCTATCTCATGTCGTTGCGTGCACGATTCCCTCTGGATAGGTGCTGGGTTGAAGAGCAACCAGTGCCACTCTCCAACCGGAATAAGTGTAGTGAACTCACTGCTTCCTTGCACCACAGGGAATGTTCACGAGAGGGCGTCATTCACCAGGCGTGGCACTGGTATTGGTGGCTTGAATGACTAGCCAGTTGGCGACAGGACATATCTTGGAAAGAGTACTGTTGATAGAATCCTGGTCGAAACCAGTATTTGCAACAACCATGGCTCGCTTACAATGTCTAAAACTCCGTATTGTTTTCTGGTCAGAACGAGTATCATGACTAGCCAGTTGGAGACAAGACACCTCTAAGAATTCTTCTGACTAATTCTGGTCAAAACCACTCTGTCCCAATGACCATGGTGCGACCATGACTCTGCGCCTACTTGAGAATCTCGTACAAACCTTCACTCTGAACTGACTTCTGGGCCAGAAGCAGCGGTCCACATAACGAGCGGGTTGGAGATGGGACATACCTACGAATTCGACTGATCGATCGGGTTCTGGCCAAAACCAGTCTGTCGGACGACCACAGCTCAACAGAAAATAACGAACCAAACGGGAAAGAATGAAACATACGTACAGACAAGGACGCAGGAGAAACAAGAGAACAGACGAAGGAGCCGAGACAGTGACATGGAGAGACGCCGAAGGGCCCTTAATGTAGGCACGCAGATAGAGTGAGAGAGAGACAGATACAACAGATAGACAAAAATCCGTGGATGCCTCAGCCTTGGTCGCTCATCTCGATTGCTGAAGTTCCGTAGTACACGAGTAACACAGCGGAGTCAAAATTCTTACCTGCAATGCTTGTGATGAAAGCAACTTCTTTTTCGGCATTATAGACGCCGGCTAGTTGATCTTTGCGGAGATCCAGAGCATCATACATTTCCTCGAAACTAACATCCGTGGAGTTGGCAAGCCAGAGAGCTTCTGTCACTCTCCCATGTAGCTCGGCCATGTTCTCCGCCCGCTTTTTCAGCAGCGACCCAGCAAGATACTTTCTCTGCGACTTGGTGGAGGACTTGGTGGAACAATAGTCTTGGGAGGCACTCCAGCTGCAGAGAGTCACGCAGGCACAGAAAAATTCCCACACGAAGCGGCACAAGAAAACCGTCTTATGTCATTAATTTCAAGAGCGGACTCTTAAAGAATTACACATCAGTCGCTTGTTTCAATAGCATGATCATTGCGGCACCTTTTTGAAGAAAAGAAGAGTGGTCGAGTCCCAATGAAACCACGTGCGAGAGTACTAAACATGGTGATCTCATGATAATAACTATGCCAGCCAACCCGAATGGGTTAATATACGGATGATAATGGCGCAGGACGAAGGGCGCTAGAGGTAAGGAGCAGAGGAGTGGGAGTGGCGCAGCAGTAGGAAGGCATGATGCCGAGGACAGGACGAAGATGGCAGGTATACGATCTAGACCAACCTTGAGGACTCGCCAATGAGATCCTTGGCAGCAGCCAAGGCTTTCTTGACGTCACGTCCATCGGACGACTTGGAGCAGAGAACTCCCAAAAGCTCCTCATACTGCGAAAGTTCTTTCCGGACAGGAGAAATACCATCGCGCAACACTTGTTCATATAAGCGATGGATTGTCCACGCGAGCACATCTTCAGACACAGCCTCGATGTCCAGGGTCGGCTGGATGGACGGTCGAGAGCGGCGCGAAAGAACCAAATCCGCCACCTCCTTCGAGAGTTCCTGCACCATCTCCCAGCCATTCTTCTGCGGCTGCTCCCACCAGTAGTTCACAATGGTGCTGCAGTGGTGAGCCAGGCTGTCATGAGACATGCCTCCTTTCCGATGCACACGATGCAGGGAAATAGACTTGCCACCTTTGTCTCTCTTTTTGCTATGAACATCCCTGTGCCTAACTTCCCGGTGATCGCCCTCCCGCTCAGTGGTGACTGTCGTCACCACCTCCTCCTCCCTGTGTTGCAGCCAGCTCCTATTTTCCGGCCTAGATGTACCCCTCGACAAAACGGTGGGGGGCTTAACGCTACCACCCACCATTCCCTTAAGGTAGGAGTACTGGCGTTCGTACGGCTGCGCGGAGTAGGAGTGCTCAAGTTGGTAGTCGGTATTCTGATCGAAATAATGGCCAGCCAATGACCCGCCGGCTGCCTCCATAACCGTCACTTCACTGACCTCCACACAATGCTGATCGGCTTCCCAGAAATGTTGTTCAGACGGCACGCCGCCTGGCACATAGTAGTCATCAACCACCTCCTCGGTAACAAACACCTCCTCCTCCCACTCTTCATCTTCCTGAGCCTTGCTCGAGTGTTTCTTCCCGCCGCCGCTTTTCTTGATCCTTTCCTCCGTAACCTCCTCGCTATACGTTACCGAAGAGCTTTGTGTGCCTCCTGAAGACGAACTGGATTTCGAACTCTTCTCTTGAGAACTTGAGCTTGACTTCTTTTCTGACGAAGAACTGGAACTCGACTTCGAGCCTGAACCCGAACTCTTCTCTTCACTGGCTGAAGACGAGCTGAATTTAGAACCCAAGCTTGAGCTCTTCGCTTGCGATAAAGAGCCGGACTTGTGCTCTGAGGAAGATGACTTAAGCTCCTCCGACGACTTGTGCTCCTTCGACTTGTACTCCTTCGACTTGTGCTCCTCCTTCGACTTGTGCTCCTCCTTCGACTTGTGCTCCTCCTTCGACTTGTGCTCCTCCTTCGACTTGTGCTCCTCCT